CACAGATACCTAGGTAAAAGCTGATTGTATTCTTAAAAGCCAGTCTCAGAATTGGCACAGTATCACTTCTGCCATACTTCATTGGTCAAAGCACAGGCAGCTTCGATTCACAGAGAAGAAAAACAGACCCCAACTTTCAGAGATAAGAGTGTTAAAAATGTGTAGCCATCTGAATTCTGCCATAGTCTGCCATTTAACCAAAAATCATTTTCATTCCCCCCACATGAAAAATACCACTTCTCAAAGCCTCATCTTATTATGACACTGGCTCAAAGTCTGAAGGTTATCAAAGTCAGGCCTGTGTACAGATGAGTTTCCTTGGGTACAGTTCTTTGAGTATAGTTTCTCTCAATCTGAAGACCTAAAAGTAAAAAAGAAAGTTACTTGCCTTTCATATACCTAACATATAATGGTAAAACAGGAATAGAGACTCCTTTTCAAAAACAAGGAAAATGGGAAATAAATAGCAATCATTGGTTCATAGAAATTCTGAAGTCCAGCCAGGAGTAGCATTGTCTGCTTGCTTCTCTTGTATCAAGAGTTGGTGTCTTCAAGGGTTCTAAACTGCATCTTTTTCTGATGGCGCTTCTGCAAGTAGAATTTTCTTAATAATTTTGTGGATTTTGTAAGAATGTTATTGATATTCACTACATTTGACAAAACCACTCTTTGTTTTGTTTTGTTTGGAGACTGGCTCTTCTCTACCTTGTTAGTTGCTTATGAAGATGCTGTGAAACAATGCACTTGAGATTCATAGAAATCCTTTTGTCCATCAGTCTGTCAGACATGCCTTTAAATCTCCCTGTGCCATAATAGAATGTCTGTGGCCACACCCTTGACTCATGTTTCTCCTAAGGCTGCCCTAAATTTCATGTGTGTCTTGAGACCATGTCTTTTCTTTTGAAGCTTTTGTTAGCTAGAAGGAATTACCTTGGACTTTATTTTCTAAATTCTCCTTATAAACTGAACAGTTTTTTTCTTCAGTTAATCTCTCTCTCTCTTCTAGTATCAGTGGCCACTAGAAGATATTCGCTGGCACTTTCAATATTCTTCTTAGCTCCTTAGCTAGATCACTGGATCTATTAAGAATATTTTCTATAGTCCTTGTTTTCACAGGTACTAACTTTCTGTGAGTACATAACAAGTATCACCTTTTCTCCAGTCTCCAATAACTTTTTTCCACTGGCCAGTCTCACCAAAACTCTCCTTGAAGCCCTTTCATCTTTTGCCTGCTGTCCAGTTCTAAAACCAGTTTACAGGCTTTTGTTATGTCAGCACCCTATTTTCAGGTATGAAATTCTGTTTCTGTTATCTATTGATGCAAAACAAATTACTCCCATAACTTAGTGCCTTAAAATAACTTTTATTTTATCTACACTTTTTTGGGTTAGGAATTGGAAAGATTCTTCTCTTCTATGTGGCATCAGCTGGTATCACTTGTCGGTATTCAGCTCTCTGTTGACCTTACCTGGAGGATGCAAGATGATGTCTCTCCCATGTATGATATCTTCATAGGGCAGCTGGGTCTGTTCAGCTGGATTCCTTTCCTTCATTTCAGTGTCATGGCCTCGCCATGTGGTCTTTCCAGGATAGTTAAACTTCTTTCATGATGGCTTAGGCTTCCAGATTCCAAGGTAGAAGCTGCCAGTTCCCTTAAAGGCTAGACCTAGAACTGGCATAGCAATATTTCAACTGTACTCAGTTGATCAAGGCAATCACAATATTTAAGGGGATAGAAACAGCCCCCCTCTAGATGAAAGGAATGTCAGAGACCTTACTATATGTGTGATCATCTTTGATTCACCACAGTAACTTTAGTGTTATTCATTAGAATCATAGTCGGTATTGTGAGCCTTTTCTTAAAAAAAAAAAAAAAAAAAACCTGTTAGGTATATAATAGCAGCTTTCTAGCCTAGTGCAGGAGTCAGCAAGCTGTTTCTACAAAGAGACACATGGTAAATATTTTTGACTTCGTAGAAAATAAAGTCATAAATATAGTTTGTAGGAAGTCTCATATTGATATGCCTAATGTCTAGGGAACAAATACTCATTAAAAAATAAATTAAAAAGGATTTTCCCCCAAGTGCTTACCTTGTGTGAGTGACCAAAAATATTATATGAATAAAAGATAAAGACTTTAATGATTTGTATAATATCAATTATTTTTCTAAATAGGACAGCTAATTGGAAACTTAAAATATGGAAGGAAAAGTTATCTAGATATTAAGAAAACAGAGGGGGTGATGATGGCTTAAACAAGATAGTATTGATATCTGAATTGGAGAGGAAAAAGAAAAGTTTAACAAATGAAGAAAAACTCTTCTTATCACTGTTTACTTTCAGAAAATATCAACCAGGTAAAAAATGGGCCACTGCCAGAATAGAGGTGGTACTCTGGCTATTAATTATTTGATGATCTAGGGAAATAGATTTTGTGTGCTTCGTTTATGTTATCAATATCATTGTAAAAGTTTGAGTGATAGGATTCTTTTTTCATTTTGGGTTGAAAGATAGATTTTGATGATTGAGCTTTCCTGTAAGTTACTAATCAATGATATTACACTCTTTTCTCCCATAATTATAACTACAGATACTGTTATTCTTAAAACTAGTTTTTATACCTTCTTAAATGCAATTTACATGTTATTGAAATTTTAAGGAAAATTTTATATACTAATGAATAGTTAACACAATAACGACATTAAAGATCTAAAGATAAAACTTTTAATTTTTTTTGTTATAATTAACATATTAGCCTAAAACCAGATAATGATAATTTATAAAAAATTTATTGTTTTCTCTAAATGAATTTTGCTTCGAGACATGTTTTTGTTATGTTTTTGCCTTTCAGAATGTGATGACTTGGAAACAGAAGTTTTACAAGAGTCAAGTGGAGCAAGCAAAGATGGTAGCTTGCCTTGCACTGTTATGGATGTGTGGATTAGTGAGATAAAAGAAACAAAGGAAACTAAGTACGTTACTGCTTTCTCCTTACGTGTCAAAACCTGGGTCCCTTTTTGTAATACCTTTTTAATAAATACTGTAATAAATTAATATTGTACTATATCCTATTACGATAATATCTTATAAAATAATTTTTAAGGAGATATTACATTCATATGGTTCAGAAATCAACAAATATATAAAGACATACAGTAAAAAGTCTTTCCTACCTTTGTCTCCATTCAGCAAATTTCCACTCTCTTCTCCTTCCAGATATTTTTAATATGTACATAAGCAAAAACAAATATACTGTTCACCTTCCTTTTAAATATAGTCGTTAGTATAATATGCACAGTATTTTCTACCTTTTTACTTTTAGTTGGTTATTTTGGAATTCTTTTATATTAATACAAAGAGAACTTCTTTTTCACAGCTACTTAGTCCATTATTTAGATATACCACAACTCAATAAATCTTCCATATTAATTGATATTACAAATGATGCTGCAGTGAATAACTTTTTATTAAGGTCATTTTGCTTATATATAAGTATATCTATAAGATAGATATGTGGAAGTATAATGACTGGGTCAATTGCATTTTTATAAATTGCAATTGTAATTCAGTTCTTGTTCTCTCTTGGGGTTACACTGATTTATGCTTTCAGAAAGAATGTATGAAATCCTATTTTCCCCACAATCTTGCCAACCTTATTTTCAAAGTTTCAATTTTTGCCAATCTGATAGGTAAAAAAATAGTATCTCTTTTTAGGGTCTTAGTTTATCTCTTATTATTGGTAAAATTTAACACATCTTTTCAAATTTAAGTTTCATTTCTATTTTTTGTGAGTTCTCTGTTTATATGGAAATATGTCTAAAATATTGAATAATTAATGAAACAAAATTAAATAAAAAAGCATTTTTATATATTAGAATAACACTATGATAATTCTATGTAGAAATTACTGTATATGTACTTACATATATATGTATGTAAATTTAAAGTATGGTCAGATGTACACCAAACTGATGATGTCAAAGTCAACTGGGATTTGGAAGGTTAGGGGAGTCCTAAAAGAACCATTACTTTTTTAATTGAGGTGAAATTTATATAACATAAAATTTATGTTAAAATGTACTTTGCTCTCTTAATAATGTATCCTGACTATTAATTCCATATCAGTTCTTACAGATTTCTAGTTTTTAAACAACTTCCTGATATTTTATAGTATTACTACGTCATAATTGCTTTATAGCCTCTGCTATTAAGGGGCATTTAGATTGCTTAAAGTAGTTGTTCTCAAACGTTAGCAGTAGGATTACTTTGGGATTTATTAAAATAAATTGCTTGTTCTTGTCCCCCAAAGTTTCTGATTAATGGGCTAGAGGGGGGCCTGAGAACTTGCTTTCTAACAAGTTTCTGTGTGTCACTGATGTCTAGGGGCCATACTTTGGGAACCACTGTTGTAAGAAATGGTGGGGCTGGTTGTTGTGAATGATTATGATCAGTGAAGGTCTGAACGGGGTAAAAATACATTGTGCTTATGAAAGAAAATATCTGTATATGTGAGAAAAATATTTGAGAGTGCTTTTATTTCTAGTAAACTGTGTGTTGTTGTTTTACTGGTTTATCTATCTGGCAGATTGGAAGATAGGATTACTAGTCAGAAAAATGAAGATTCTGAAGATGGATTTCTGAGGAATCTGGAACAACTTAGTAAAGTTCACATAGGTAAGCATCATCGTATTGGTCTAATTACCTTATAGAAGGATGTTAACACTAACCTGTTTAATTTGGACAATATATTAATAGAGAGCATTCCTAATCAGTTGCCTCAGTCGATTGAAAAATGTCATAGACATAGAACACTGGACTCTGAATTTATAAGCCTGGATTGTTTGGCAATGTGAACAATAAAACTTTTAGATCAGTTCTTTAAATATTTGAAAAGAGAAGAATCACTTGCCAAAACTAAGCTAGTATACTAAGGACATTAAATTAGTTGCCCTCTAGTATTAATTAAAATATAAGACATATACTCTTTTCTGTCTAACCCATAAGGAACCAAGATAAACTGAAACTAAAATGAGTATCCGAATAGTATTTTTCACAGCTCCTTGCATTTGTGTGTATATTTTACAACTACCAATGTAATTGGAAATATATAATAAATTATATCTGCTTTCTGAAAATAAAACAGTATATTCTGTTAAAGATTATTTATAAAATAACGTAATTATATACAGCAGGTCCTCCAATAATGTCATTTTGTTCAACATCATAAGAACTTAGCTCGTTCATGTCAATTAGCCTATTGCGAAGTTGGTTTTGTTATATGTTGTTACATTGAAGTCACAAAACCGATCAACATTAAGTGAGGGCTTACTTTATAAAATTTATTTTGTTTTTCTGAGAGATATGTAGTTTTTTGCTAAAATTTGTATTAAATACTGTGCTTTTACAATATAACTTAGAACTTTCTTCCAGTACTATATAGACTTATTACATAATTTTTTTTTGTATCACAGAACCTGGAATAGATGATTCTCAGCACTCTAATAAATGCGATACAGACAAATCTATACAACCAGAACCATTTTTCCATAAAGTGGTTCATTCCGAACACTTGAATGTAGTCTCTCAAATTCAGTCAATTCTGTGTTCACCAGAAGAAGCCTTGCCACTTCGATCTCGCTCTGATTCACCACCAAAAAATAAAAACAAGAATTCTTTGCTGATTGGACTTTCAACTGGTCTTTTTGATGCAAATAACCCAAAGGCAAGTATACTCCTCTCATAGAAAATGTTATCTATTTGATAACATTTTTATTGTTTTTCTTTGATAAACCAAAATATTGAGTTTTAAACCCTTAAAAATACAAATACAACACACACACACACACACACATCAAAACCATTTAAAAAAAATAAAAAAATCCTCCGTTTTCTCTTCTGAGGTACTGAGAATAATTAGGACAAAGACTGTTTCATTGGCTCCCAGTTCTGGAATTTTTTTTTTTTTTTTTTTTTGTGGCGGGGGTGGGGCAGAATTTTTTTATAGGCCTTCTTTTATTAAGCAAAAAATCCCTCTTACACCCTCTTACACTATCTCCCTTTCCCAGTACCCAGCTAAACTTCCATTTTTAGTATAAGACTAAGCTTAAGCAATACATCTTAAATGGATAGAAATGCCATATTGCCTAATTTGTAGAAAGATTAATATGTACTTTCTGGTAAAAGTTTTTCAAACCTCTTTTTTCACTTGCTATTTTTAAAATATGTAACCAATTTTTTTCTTATTAAGAAATTAGAACATCTCTATAGAAAGTTTACAAATACAAATAAATCACATATCATGCGTTATATTACTTTTCATATATGTGATTTTTACATGTATATAACTTTTTACCAAAATAGGATATATACATACTCTGTTACCTGCTTTTCTGTTTAGTATTATAAATTATTACAAATAATATTACTACAAAAATAGCATTTTGTCATATTTTCAAATATTCTGTCACATCATCTTTAATGTCCACAAATTCTGTTTATTCTGCTATATTATATTTTTTTAAATTATATTTTTCTATTGTCGGGCCTTTAGATTTCAGTTTTTCTTATGGTTACCAACTACATCTCTATATTTGTACATATTCACAATTATTTCCATAAAACAAATTTCTATAAGTGAAAAGTTACATATAAGTCAAAAAGTTACATATTGCTTAATTTCTCTTCAAGAAATAGTGTATAGTTCCATTAATACTATGTGAGAGGCCTTAATAGCACCAACTATTATTTACTTAAAAATTGTGTGTTTAATGAATGAGTAATGGTGTTAATTTTTTAAAATTTCTATTTCTGTATTTACCACTGTGGTAGGGCTTTTTTTAAATATATATTTGTCTGTATATGAATGAATTGCCTGAATTCTTTTTCCTCAACTGTTTTTTAAATATGTCATTTTGATTTTCAGTTTAATTTTCCAATTAGATAAGTTTTTATTTTGTGGAATATTTCTTATGTTTATCTTAAATGTAGATATTGCTAAATTCTCTAACTTATCTAAGAGCAGTTAGACTTTCAAACTTGGTGTATCCGTCGTGGGACAGACAAGGACTATCATATAATTCATGTACTTTCTTTTGTAGTAAAGGTGTATAGCTGTCTTTAGCCCAGAGATTTTAAAAAACTTGTTTCTAAAATTAATACTCATTGCATAATAAATCTGATGATTTGATTTTGTTTCATGACCTTAGTTTCATCTTATTAGTTCTTTGAAAGCACTTAACTTTGGAGGTAAGCACAGCAAAGCAGATTTCATGTAGAGGGAAAGGCAAGAAAAAAATACTAGAAAATCAAAGCAATCTTTAACCATTTCAAGCAAGGACAGAAGACCATACCTGCCTATTCCATAAATCTCTCAAATATGAATGTTCATCACTGGGCCAAAATAATAAATAATCATTGTTTATAATGATGGCCTTGAATTGTGAAGAAAAGGTAAAAGTTATTTATAAGCATTCATATAATCAATCTCTTTACGAAAATGGGATAATTTAACCTCTTACAAAGATTTTTGTTAAAAGTTCTTTTTTAAAAATGTTAAGTTATACGGCTTGTGTTATTTTTTTTCAATTAAAGGAAATCCATCTTAACTTTTGTCATTCTAACCTGTATCATCAACTTCTTTCTTTGTAGGGAATCATTTCCTCAACATACATGTTCTAATAAGTCCCATCATAAGTAGCAAACTTCCCTTGAGCACATGTTCTTCTCTAGCTACCACCCTATTTCTCTGATCCCTTTTACAACCAAACATTTTGAATATGTCTCCACTTTGTTTCACTTCCACTTTTGCAGTCTCCACTTCTATTCACTTCCCAGTACATTCCAATATGGTTTTCAGCCTACTTCTTGACTAAAATTGCTCTTGTCAAAATCATCAATTACCAGTCTGTTATCAGATTCCCTATACTTTTTTCTCTCACCTTTCTTGACTTTCCTTGTTTAAACAGAATTGATGTATACCTTTTAAAATCATTTTATCTGTTGGCTTCCTTTATATCATAATTTCATAGTTTTCCTCTGCACTCATTAGTCGCTCTTTAATTTTCTAGCTGGCAGCTACTACTACTAACAAATCTCCTTAAAAGAATGTGTATTCTTCTCTCATTGGGTGAAGTGCTCTATAAATGTCTAGAAGTAAATCAAATTGGTTGATAGTGTTGTTCAAGTCTATACTGATTTTTTTTTTTTTTTTTGGTCTACTTTGTCAGTTGCTGAGAAAAGAAGAATGAAAATTTTAACCATACTTGTATATTTATTTCTACTTTGATTTGTGTCAAATTTTGTTTTAATGTATTTTGAATTCTGATATTGAGTGTATAAAATTTAGTACTGTTATGTGTTCCAGATAAATTGATACATTTATTGTTATGAAGTGTTCCTGTTTGGTAATGTTATTCAAATTCTCTACATCCTTACTGATTTTTTTTTATCAATTACTGAGGAATTTCCAGTCAGTTGAATGTAAATTAATAATCTTTATGTCTTCTGGATGAATTAACCTCTTTATCATTATGAAATGACTCATATTTTCCTGTTTGGGAATCTACTCTATCTATATAGCCATTCTAGCCTTTTTTATGCTTAATGTTTATATAGTATATATTTTTATATCCTTTACTTTTAAACTTATTTTATAGAGTAGATTTTTTGTAGTTATATAGTCAAGTCTTGCTATTTAACCAATTTTTTAATTAAAGTGATTGGACCATTTACATTTAATGTAATTTTTGATACATTGAGGTAAACTTATTATTTCGCTATTTGTTTTCTGTTTGTCTCATCACTTTTTTACTTTTATTCTCTTCTTTTGGGTTGAATACTTTTTGTATTATATTTTATCTCTACTATTTGCTTACAGTGTAGACTTTAGAAAAATATTTAGCAGTCATTCTTAGTGTTCAAGGTCCATCTTTGGCTTATCGCAGTCTCTTTTCAAATATTATACCAATTCACATATAAAAACCTTACAACAGTATACTTTGATTTCCACTCTCCTGCCTATCCGATGTGATAATTGTTGTCATATACTTCTGCAAATGTTGTAAACTTCACAAAACATTTTTATTGTTTTTGCTTTAAACATTCAGTTACCTTTTACAGAGTAAAAATTGAAAATCCAGCTTCTATCTGGTATTATTTTTCTTTCATTTTAAGAACTTCTTCCTTTATCACTTCATGTACAGCCCTGTTGGTAAAAAATTTTTCAGCTTTTATTTATATAAAAACATTTTTATTTCATTTTCATTTTGAAAGGATATTTCCATCAGATCTAGAATTATATTGTCTTCTGGTTTGCGTTGTTTCTGACAAGAAACACTGAATACAGTATAACAACTTTCACAAGATATTTATAATAATTTGATAAAATTGAGAGTAGCACACAAATAAAGATCACTGAATATAAATTTGTAGTAGGTTAAAATAAAGTAGTCTAAAGATGTGATCTTCTCATGATCCGACTTACATAAGAACAGAATTCAGGTTGCCAAATGAAAAAAGCTACTTGTCCTTCCCCTTAGACCATCCTCACCTTAGGGGATAATGAATAATGGGTAGAGAGAGACTGTATGTGTTCCACTGATACTTTTCTCATCTGGAGGGTGGAATGAAAAACTGATCTCTTTGAAAATTTGAGAATTTTGTTTTTTGTTATAGCAAATGCAAGGTGAGGGAAAATATTAATGTACAATTCACAAATAGCGTATGTGTCTTAAATGTCTTTTTTTGATTTGCTAAAATATCAGTTCTCAGGTAATGTCCATAATGTTTGCCTTTGGTAAATGTTCATAATTTTAAATTAATGTTTTAAATTTATTCTTTAACCCAGTTTGTAGGTCAAAGTGAGCAGATTTTTGTAGAAGCTATTTTGAAGACACAGTGTTATGGTTTAATTGCAGTATGCAAATGTTAAACAAATGTGCTCATCATAAACTGTTTCGTTGTCTGACCAGAGTATTACTAGTTCATAATTTTGTATGAAAAATACTACAAATGAAAATGAGTTGACAGTTTTTCCAAGTAGAATTTCATGTGAAGTTCTGTTAGGGCAAATAGTAATTTATTCACCCTCTTATGTGACTCTTAATTTTTGCGAAAAAAAAAATAGAACTTAACCAACAACAAAAAACCTAAAGGAAGCATATATTTTTAAAAAACTTTTTAAGGTTTCCTAAAACATTGCTCTTCTGTTTGAATTATAATGTCATCTAATATGCTAGCTGTGTAAAATCATACTACAAAGAATCTAGAAAAAAATTAATCTGACTATAAATGAAGTAAGATTTCAGGCAACATGTTATAGATAAGCAGCTATTTTCAGGAGGATTTCTTTCTATGAATGTTAAAGCTATAGAATATTTCTTATATAAAATTTTTCTAACTGAAGATGAATATCCTATTGAAAACTTTAACAGTCTGTCAAAGAAGACTGTGAACATAAAGGGTTTTTAATGTAGGACAAATAGCTATTGTATTGATAGGTGTGTGAACCCATTCTAAGAGGAATGTTGTCGAATTACATACCACATGAAATTTCTGTGTCATTTTATGTTATGTTATGAAAGTTATTTTAATTAGTGAAAGAAATAAATTAAAATCGAGACGATTTTCTGGGGCTAAAGTTTATCTCAGCTTTAAAAATACTGCATCTTTTTGTGTAGCCCCCTTGTATTTAGGTTTGTAGTGCATATATGCTATTTATTTTTATTGATTAACGTATCTGGAAAAACCGTTACTGGGCAAATATTTTGCATACTGCTGGTTAACGATACACATGGTTCAAACCATTAAAATAATAAACAAGTCAAGTATAAATTTTGCTGACAGTGGGAGATTCAGCAAAAAAAAAAAAACTTTTAGTACCATTATTAAGTATTTTAACAACCAAAATATCTTTACCTTGTAATTCGTAATCATTTTTTGCCCTCTTGAGTGCTATAATATGTAAATTCTATTCAAATAATAGAGATCTATCTTTTTTATTCTCAATAACAAATTGTACTGATAAAATTGGCCAAGTATATAAATTTTCATTAATATGCTAAACATTGTGTTTTCTTCACAGTCTTCCATCTGGTATACGGTTTTTATCAGGGCCTTAGGAGTCATGTTTCAAATCTCACAGATTCCTTTAGGGCTAACTCAACCCCGAGACTTATGTAATAGATACTTATTTCATAGCCCTGTCTATCTATCCATCACATTCTAATTGTTGAAGTGTTGGTGGACACAAACTATTCCTATTATCCCTGGTCTAATCCAGCACAAATTCAAATTTTAAACACCTCAGCTGTGCATTCTTGTTTTGTCTCAGCTCAATTTGCTGAGTTCTCATACTGCTACTAAAAATGATTTGCAATATGAACATGAAAGATCTGGCCTTTATAGCTTTCCATAGTGGGAAGGACTACGCTCATAGTCCCTTGCTCAAAGAAGCAATAAATATTAAGCTTTTTTTTTTTTTGCACTAATTTGAGGGCCCCGAATTAACCAATGTTGGTTAGCCAGCAACTCGTAGTGGTAAAGTAATACAAAGGGACACCAATTATATGTGGTGGTACCTAGCCAAACTTCAGATTAACTCCAGGATTTGGGCAAACCTTTATGGGGAGGATTGGCCATAGGAAAATGAAAGACAGTAGAGATAACCATGAAAGAGGGACAATATGGGCCATGAGTGAGAAGGAGTGAATTAGAAGTTTCTAGCACTACCTGATTCTTGACACATTCCAGTTCTGTTTCATGTGCATACTCCAAACATCTCCTATTTGTGTCAGAGAGTGTAAGGAGATGAAATAGAAAAGGTGGCAAGAGCGAGACTCGTTTAGTTTCACGCTGAAATTCAAGAGAATTAGGTTTTCACATTGGACAAGTCAGTCCTGAAGCTTCTAGCTTTGAATATATACAAAATTATTATTTTCTAATTTTTTTGTTTGTATTTTTCTAATTATTTTACTCTTAATAAGAATTCTGTTGGCTTTGTTTTAGATGCTAAGGACATGTTCACTTCCAGATCTCTCAAAGCTGTTCAGAACACTGATAGATGTTCCTACTATAGGAGATGTACATCAAGACAATCTTGAAATAGATGAAATTGAAGATGAGCACATTAAAGAAGGACCTTCTGATTCTGAAGACATGTGAGCATGATGTCATTAATAGATAGTAACACTAACAGAATTTCTGAATTTATGTATGTCCTAGAGATGGTGATTTACCTAGACAGTTTTTAAAAAATGATTCATAGCTAACTTTTTACTACTCCTTTACCTTTTTACAACATTCTTAAAGTAATCATACAAATTTTGATATGTATATCTGCCTCTTCATTTCACTTGAGGAATATAAGAAAATGGTTTTTATTGGTGCTCTCTGTCTTATTAAACCACGTAGCGTCCAGCACAATGATTTGCACATGGTAGGTACTTAATAAATATTATGTGAATAAATGTTAACAACACCATGATACAAGAATTGCAATGGAAATTTGTGAAATACTTACTGTTCTACGATTCCCCAGGAAGATGATCTGAAAGCTCCACCTATATCTGTCTCCTGCCACGAATGATTTCAGAACCATGGCACTGGGGAGTTAGCAGATAGAATGAGTTGTTTGGTTTGCATGTGTATGTATGTGCTTACCTGTGAATTCTGCTTGTAACTTAATTGCTTTTACAAAATTCCTTCATGATTCGTGGGGAATATGAAATCAAGGAGAATAATTTAACCATCACTTGAGAGAGGTGGGATGTGATTGCCCTTTAAACAATAATTCTGCTTCACCTTTGATATCAGTGAACCTTCTCAGCCCCTCAGACAAATGTTACAAACTTTTTTAGGAAAGTGAAACCAGAGTACCCTGGAATAAAGTGTTTGAGAAGGTACAGTGTGTTCAAGTCACTAGGAAAATACATTATTACAAAATTTTAGAATTTGTATGATTTTTTTTTTAATTAATTTGCTTCTTTTTACTTCTGCCATTCAATAGAAAGAACTTGTGTTTTGCTTTTATTGAAAGTGTTGTATCAGTCTCACGATTTTCCTTCTATAATATTTGAGCCAGGGCTACTACATCTGGTACATTTTATTTTGTCTTTGTTTTTCTTAAGCCTTGCCCCTTTCTTCTTAAATTTCTAACCAAACTTTTAAAGATTGCCTTTTTTTCTCATTTTTCATAGAGTTCTATAGAATTTTGCTGGTGCCCTCAAAATTTGCAGGAAAAGTTACCTTTTTAGACTTGTTTTCAACTGCTTGGCTGTGGTCATTAAGCACTAAACTTTCTGTTTTTATTAAGCCTGTTGGAGAATACAACATTTCGGTACCCCTTTATGGTTGACAAAGTGCTAGATATCAGTTTTTTCTTCAGAGTTTTTTTAAAGTCATGAGTTTTTATCTGAGGGAACTATAGCTTATTTGTGGCTTGTATTCTTTTCATTACAAGTTGAGAGTATTTTATTTAAAAATTAAAGTTAGAAGTCTTTAATATTTTTAAAATTTGAAAATTGTTATTTTTAGAGTTAATTATATCTATCTAGGGAAATTTCACTTGATGTTTCTTTGGGGAAAAATAAAACTTTTTTTAATGCAAACTTTACTCAAGGTTGTATAATAAGAAAGTTTACTAAAAAGTGAATTTGGGACCAGGTTTTAAAGCACCTGAGACAAATTTTTGAGTGTTCATTTCCTAAAAGATCTTAATCTTATATTTTTCTTACAATGATAGACTTAGCAACCCTGCTTATTTTACTGCCATCTATGGAGGACATTAATTCCTCTAGGCTTGCAACTAGAAGATTTCATCAACAGGTTATAATATTTAGTAATTGTAGTAATGGTACATAGCAGCTGTGCCTGGTACGTTAGTCTTGTAATTAAATAAGTTAGATGCTACTCATAAGATGATCCAAAAAATTAAAGTCTCTCTTTCTCATTATAATTAAATGTTTTGCTTTTCTATAGCTGCTACAAAGTCAAAATGTAGGAGTTTGTACACATAAGTACAAAATAAAGATATTTCTACATTAAAAGATTATTTTATTTTTCCATTAATGGAAATTTTATTCAACGTTACACAATATCGTTTATATTTTAGTTCTTCAGTAGATATTTGTCTATTTGATTAGAATGTAAACTTTAAGAAAGGCCTTAATCAACGTGCCACTTTAGGAGAAAGAAGCAAATTAAGAGAGACAACATCGATGAGTACATTTCTTGGGTATTGTAGAAATGGTCAGAAAACCTAGATTTCAATTCTGTATTTGTCATTTATTTACTGCGAGTCATTTAAACACTTTGATTCATAGTTTCCATGCCTCTAAAGTAAGTTTCATCTGAATAAAATTTAAATAGTAGGCTAAAACTGCTTAATGAACTAAAGTACTATGTAAATGTATAATATTATTTGCATAAATTAGTTCATTTCAGCATCTATAATCCCATGAAAATAAAATTAATGTCCTGAGCAATGCCTTGGAAACAAGATTCCCTAGTGAAGATTATTATGGTTAATATATTCTAATTACACAGTAAAATCTACCTATTATGTACTTTAGAAATATTTTCAAGAATAAGCCTCTGAAGGTAAGACTTCCGGTGACCATTTTATTTACTAGCTCATTCTGTTAACCTGAACATGTAATTCCCTAAGTGTTTTCATTTCTGAGAGTTTAAAGGCCCAGTGAGAATTTATATGGAAAGCTTTTTGTATAGTGTACTATTATTATACATCCACACCAAGATTTTGCTGAACTTTCCAAGTTACATAAAAGGAAAACATTTGAATAGTAAGTATTTGTTTTGGAAAGCAAATGAAAAACCTCTTTAGTCTGGCCTCCTAAAATATTGAAGTTTTCTTTCAAAATTTAAGCAACTAATAATATTTATAGTTACATAATTCTTTTTGGCAAATTAGGACCATTTTAAACAAGTCTTCTTCTGGCTTATGTATTCCAGAGTAAATGTCATGTACCTTATTTATCAATTGTGTTAATCTTCATTTTCCATGTTAAAAACTAGGTTTTTTTCCGATTTCTTTTTATCCATTGTTAGTACTTTTAAGAAGAAAGGAGTGTATGCATGTTGAGTTGAAGGCAAATTTCAGAATAAGGTAAAGTTTTGGTAATTTTTGGTTTAATTTTTTAAATTTCAGTGTTTTTGAAGAAATTGACACAGATTTACAGGAGCTTCAGGCCTCTATGGAGCAGTTACTTAGGGAACAGCCTGGGGAAGAATACAGTGAGGAGGAAGAATCAGTCTTAAAGAACAGTGACATAGAGCAGACTGCAAATGGGACAGATCTGGCAGATGAGGATGACAATCCCAGTAGTGAAAGTGCTCTAAATGAAGAATGGCACTCAGGTGTGTGATAATAATTGTGGGCCTTTTTTTATTTTTCAGTGTGTACAGATATCTTAAGTAGAGTATATTTTTCTGATATCTGATACGAACCATTTCCAGCTTTAAATAAAACTGAAGTATACTTCTGTGTCTTCCTTTTATTCATTCTTTTTCTTTTCACACAGGTATTCCATTTCTTTCCCATTGAATTATGGAAATGCTTTTTTGTAGCATTTTTATTCTTTTTCTTGACAGGATAGTGTGCATTTCTTGGCTTATTCTTCTAGTAATAACAATAATAACTTAGTTTTCTTAGCACTTTATATTTGCAAAGAGCTTCCACACAGTGGTTAACAAGCAGAGTTAATACTAAAAGCAGTTTTTAAAACCTTGACACTTTTTTTTTGTTTAGAAACTATTTTTCGTTCTTAGCATTACCTTTAAGATGCAGAGAAAATTTGTTTATTTCAATAACTGTATTTGGGAAGTGGAGCGAATATGAAAAAGAATAATTCTTCAGTAACTCTATCTTTTACTAGAATTTTTCAAAGTATGTCTGGCATGTAAAAGACATAAAACATTGAGCACTTAAAATACTTTTTTAGGTGCTTTGCCAGAGTTTTATAGTATATATCTTAGGTTGCCTGCCTTTTGTGTGCTTTTTATGTTTTGGCTCATATTTAATATCAACTTTTTAAAAATATTCGTTACACTGATTGCCATGATGCAGAACATATAGTTGTGCTTTTTCTGTTTTATACTTAAATTAGATGACATCCCTAGGAAAGCTTTTAATCCTACCTGATTTACTGTTTATGTTATTTAAAAAGATTTCCAAAATAACATTCTTGTTAAAACAAATTTATATACATATTGATTACCTATATAAATAACAAATTATAGTGACAAAAACTTTATATTTAAAGTTCAAAATAGTCTATTTAATGATATTCACTTATAGAATTTTAGTCTATTAGAGTAAGAATTATTTAGTCTTTTCAGTCATAAAATATCTTTTTATTTATGTTTTTTAGATAACAGCGATGGTGAGATAACTAGTGAATGTGAATATGATAGTGTCTTTAACCATTTAGAGGAACTGAGACTTCACCTGGAGCAGGAAATAGGCTTTGAAAAGTTCTTTGAGGTTTATGAGAAAATAAAGGTAAGTAAAATGTCAATTAAAACATTTAATTTTGAAATACACTCTATTTGAATTACTAGCACAATGTAAGTGATCTTTATTGGTCAGTAGATTTATTATAAATAATAAAGTCTCCAATCAAATAATATTTATATTTGGAATTTTGGTATAGTCTATTCATGAAGATGAAGATGAAAATATTGAGATTTGTTCAACAATAGCTCAGAATATTTTGGGAAATGAACATCAACATCTTTATGCCAAGATCCTTCATTTAGTTATGGCAGATGGAGCCTATCAAGAAGGTAAGATTTCCTCACAGTCCTATGTTTTAAATAAATGTGCAAAAAACAAAGCAACGAATGTAAATTGATGAGCTTGTATCAGAAGCATTTTGGTGAAATCTATGTTGGAGCTATATGTAGTACTTTTAAGCAATTATAAAATTAATTGTGTCCTATACTTTTACTGATTCTGGCATATACTTTTATTGACTTAAGTCCTTTAAGTCAATATTTTTATTTGAATGAGATTTTTTAAAAGGCTCATTATTGGACAGTTCTAGAACTTAGAATACTTTCTTATCAAGGATGTAGTAGTAAACTTTTAGACACATATGCTTCAGCAATATGTAAAGTTTCACCTAAATAATACCAATGTAATCTCTTCCAGAGTAAGTAGATCATTTATCTACAATGATTTGAATGTAAACCATTTTTATATTTGGAAAATGTTTACCTATAAAATCACTCAAAATATGTTAGGACTTTATTAAAAGTTATCAAAATTAAAAATGGCTTTCCTCCTTAAATTTAGTCAAGAACACTAAACATGAAACCAAGAGACTGACTGGTATTATAGTCCTGACTCTTTTGCTGGAAGCTAGTAATGTGACACCGAGTGATTTATTTTGTGTTAAGTTTTAGTTTCCTTTGCTATAAAATAAAGAGATGATCTGCAATCTGATGTACTGTGATTGGTTTTCAACGTGTTTATTGGGTACTTCTTACATGCCTAGCACTTCATTACTATGGACATTAAGACACATAATCTTTGCTCACATGTTGTTTACAGTTTCCTTGGGAGATGAGATATAAATATATGAGAGAAAGTGTAAAACTGTGTAAAAATGCACCTTCTAAAATACTTTTCAGTGCATAGGAATTAGAGAAAGGGGACGTTGGACCTTGAAAAATGGAAAGAAATATAGAGGGCATAATTTGTGGGGAAAGCGGAATGAACCAGTAATTAATCTATATTAGGATTAAATTGAGCATATTAGAAGCTTCTTGTTGAGAATTAGTCTTTGTGATTAGATACTGCGAGTGTTTAAAATACTTAGAGGAAATCAGTGAAGATTTTTGAACTGAAGTTAAAGTTCAGTCTAGCAGCAGTATTCTAGATAGTTTGGAGAGTACTAAAGATGAAAATAAGAGGATCTGTTTCATATAGATCTGTTTGGACATGAGATGATGAATACCTGGATTTAGTGTTCATAGGAATAGAGCTGTTAAATTCAGTTCAAGTATTTCAGAGCAATGCTTTTTATAAAAATATTGCTCTTTTGACTCATAAAAACTAAGTTTGCTAAAATCAAATCTAAGAATTTCGCAGGGGCGGGGAGCAGCTTTACAGTTATGTAGACTTATTTATGTTGACCATTTTTTCCTAAAGTTTTATGATAGAAAGCCCAGCAAAAAAATGCTTCTTTAAATTGGTTTGATGGAAGTAAAAGTCTTGTAAAATTCTAATAGTTCTTATTAATCAAGACTAGAAAATATTTAGGTACAATAAGTCCTATTATGTTATAGCTTCAAAAAAACACTATATTTTCATTACTATTCTTCTTAATAGAATAACTGTCAAGAAAAAGGGTCATTGGCAACAAGTAATGAATTGAATGCAAACATTTTCTTTTATAAGTCAGTTATTAGTGCTGCCTTTATTTTTCATTATGGTTTTCTTTAGCCCCCTTAGTAGTTAAGATTATCTATATTTATAGTGGTTGCTATGAAACCTATCAATAGAAACTTAAGGGAGCCCTTTTGTATTAAAAAATATTGTTAAAGAACTATAAAATAACACCATTTGGGGGAAAATGTAAGAACAAATATGTATTTGTTTCGTTAATATAGAGATACAGACTTATTCTAATGAAGATGTTCCATTACATAAAATATCTTGAAAGTTCTTTTTCAAAATTCCACTGACGGCTTTACATACCGGATTCTTTGGATTGTCTTTCTTGATGCAAGTCTTTATTCTGGGAGCATTTAATTTTCTTGGAAAAAGTTTAAAGTTACTTAAAATCAAGTTTAGTGTATGAAGAGAAATTATATGTGGTCTTTTTAAGTATCTCACCATGAAATAAGGAGCCTAAGTTTTTAAAATAAATTTATAAACTGATTCTGATTATTTTGAATTTATTTCTAGAATATTTATCACAAATTGTATTACTTTAAAGGTATGATTTATAGACTAAAATTGAAAATTTAAAATGTTATTGCTTAATTTTAACAATATAAATTTTCATAAGATTTATTTATATTTCGTTCCAAAAAAATTTAAGATTGCATTGAAAAATATATACAGTACAAGATTAAATTAAGAACAAGTATTTGAGAAAGCGAGCATATCAGGCAAATGAGTACAAGCAATGTAATATAAAGCCAAGACTGAAATAAGAATACAGAATTCGTGTTCAAATGGTCTCTACATTTTGTGAAAATACATCACAAGTTTGGTGCTGATCTTTTTAGCAAAGCAAGAAACCTAATTAAATAAATGAGTCACAATGTTCATGAGACAAAACATGTCAATCATTCAGAGAACAGCTATTTCTGGTATTGAAAGAAAGGAAAAATTTTCCCATGATTCTTAAAAAAGAGGGGACTATGATACAGTGTTCCTCAAACTTGGATAACATGTCACTTCCTTTAAAGGGTATGATTTTTTTTTTCAGACTCTAAGAATCTAAGTTAATTGACCTCAGGGGAAAACTCAAGTCTTAGTCGTCGAAAATGTCAGTTGTGAATTATTACTGTGAAACAGATGTTTTTTCCCCTAAATATTAAAAGATTATTATCATCAAAATGAAAGTATAAAATTTAAACATTATCTGGAACTTTCAGATTTCTGATTTTATTGTGATCTCGAACCCCATTTTATAGAACAGTATTTTAATGTTCTGAAAAATATCCTCAATAATTTTTACAATATTTGGATTTCATGGGGTTCTCTTATAATATGGCATGCAGTAAGTTACTGGCCTAAGGCTAGAAAATGATTCCATTTCAGTAAATATGTGGACAATATCAAACAAGTTCAATTCATATTCAGACATTTTCATCCTGCAGGCAGTTTTCCATAAGTATTGTTTCAGTACAGCTTTTCATAAATGATCAACAACAGTGTGGTTGGAGTTCAACTTTGCTTGACAAGTATCTGAGGAACATTTTTGTATTGCTCCTTAAGTGGAACACTGTTAACAGTCAACTGAGCCATAAGGTAGAATTGACATGATACCCTCTTTTGAAAGCTGAGTGGCTTCAAAAGGCTGCATGCCTAAATAGGCCATTTCCCCTCCAAAGCACCAAGAATCGGGTGAGGCTCATACATTCCTCAAGAAGCAATATCAGATTTTCTCTACCATGCAAATGAAAAGGGGATGAGGACCCTTAAGTTCTGTATCATAAAGCCTGGCAGTAATTCCTTCAGCCTAGAAAAAATGTAAAGGGAAAAAGCCAAATGCCTACCCTGGAAACCTTTTTTTTTTTTTTTAATCTTCTGAAAGCCCCTAAAGCATTAGGACTTATCAATATATCAACCCACTAAACTGTTTTTAAACTGTATGTTGAATTATTTGAATAAATTAACTTGTTGTTTTATATTATTAAATGTAAGACAGCTGAATGTTAGACAATGATTGGATTTAGAAGAACTAATATTTTAGAGCTTTTCTAACTGGTAATACTTAGACCCCAGATTTAGAAGGAGTATAACTGGGCCAATGGTAGAATGGCAGAGACCACCAAACCCTCATGTAAAGCATTGATCTTAGATTCTTAAAAAGGAAGTACATACCTTTATTCTACATTTATTTTAGATAGAGTATTATAGTGTGTTTATATAATGAAATTCTATTCAGTTAAAACAAATGAACTAAATTTTCATCTGTCAATATGGATATGCCCCACAAATATGACCAGTTGAATAAGTAGTACATAGTACCATTTGTATAATGCTTAAGAGCAATTTTATTTTTGTGTGCGTATGTGTAATATAAGTTAAAAAAAAATCTTGGAGGGAAGGATACACATCAGTTTCAGGCTACTGATAATGCCTCTGGGGAGGGAGAGAAGGCAATAAGATTGGAAAAGGGTATTCCCTATCTAATACGTTTTTCCTTAACAGATAATCCAAACCAGTATGGCAACAAGTTAACTTTTATTTTAGGTGCATGTATATTCATTAGTTTTTTATACTTCCCTATTTGAAGCACTTTGTAATTATAAAAAATAACTATAGCACAGAGTGATAAGGGTAACATTGGAAGCAATAAAATGTACGTTTGCAGAAAGTAATAATCCAGCCATATTGGAAGAAATAAAGGTGTCAGGATAATTCTTCCTAGGGGAGAAGACATCAGAGCTGGATTTTGAAAGATCAATGGGAATTTACCCCTACATCAGTATGTGTACTTTATACACAGAGAGATGTAAAATATTGTATTAGGGGAACTATAAACAATTCAGTGTTATTAAAGCATAAATTATGTGGATGCTTAGGGAAGATAAGGAATGAAAGTAGATAAAGCTAGAAATAAGGCCAGATAATGAAGGGCTTTGCAATCCAAGTAATGGCGCAGGTTCTATCCCGAGGCAGTGAAGGATTTTAAGCAGTGCAGTGATTTGAGATGACACTTGGACTTCATTGAAAGATCACTTTTGCTAGAGTGTGGAAAATAGTGATTGTTATCTAAGATTAAATTAAGTGCTGTTTAATTCATTGAAGAGTTTTTCTATAATAAAGAAACATTTGAAATTACCATAATGCCTGTAAATAGAAATTTACAATAAATGTTGAGAAATAACATATCATAGATATATTTATGTCAGTTTTAATGGTTGCACCATATTTTATGAATATGGCATAATTAATTATTGTAAAATTTTTATCATATGGAAAAGTTGAAAGAACTTTCCTGTTATCACTCATATACCTACCACCTGATTCTGCCATTAACATTTTATAATCTCGCATTATTACTTATTAATCCATCTTTCTATTATGTGTTTAAGTAGAAAAACTCATATCTCAAAACTACATTTTGCTTTAATTTTTAAAAAAATATTTGTATATACCTTAGGAAAAGATCTGAGAGGATTTATGTAAAATTATTAGCATTGGTTATCTTTCTTTACAAGTGACTTGTGCTACCCACATTTTTCTTTATTGTATTGTCTGACTGTTTTACATTGAGTATGTGATATTATAATAAAAACTACATTTAAAAGTACATTAAAGCTTTTTTCCTTTAGCATGAAAAAGAATGAGTTTTTTTCTCAAGTAGATACATAGTTTGATTTGCAATGAAGTGAATTAATTTTTTTTCTTTTTTCTACAGATAATGATGAATAATCTTCAGAACATTCTTTAATCCTCAACTGTATGAAAGAATTTCAATTTGGTTCATCAGAATAACAAGCGTCAGTGGGGAATGTAGCAAATTTTTATAAATGATATATCACATTTAAGATAGGCATGCTGATTGCATGAAAAAGATGGACAAACATGCCATATTTCATTTGAGATTCTAGTATTTTATCCATTTTATTTTGTTTGTTGCGTTCTATAGTTGCCTCCTACAGAATATATACAACCTAAGCATAAGAGACATTGATCCAGAACTGGACTGAATGGTGCTGAAGAAGATTTACCGTGCAGTAAGGTAACTTTTACTTTCAGCAAATGTCTTTAGGCTCAAAGAATTACTTTCGTTGAGAAAGACAAGCCTGTGGTTTTTCATTTAAGTATTTCAGTATGGCCTTTTTTCTTTCTACTTGTTTTCATGGCCAGCAATTAGGTATTAACTTTCTCAAGGGCTCTATTTAAATCTTTACATTTTGAAGATGGAAATTTTAGCCTTAAAGTTTATATTCAACCAGTATGTCTCCTGAACTAGCTCAGTGGAAACAAGCTATACACACAGTCTTAGAAATCGTCAAAAGTTTTAATTATGAAAGAATAGCAAAATTATATTTCCTAATATTCAAAAAGGTGGTTAATTATTTGTTTTTGTTTTTGTTTTTAATGGCCAGAACTAGGAATATTATACTTAACAATTGGTCTGAGAATTATAACATTGATCTAGCATGGAGCATAAAATTGCCCTTTTGTTTTTAACTTTCATGCATGTGCATCACGGGTAGTAGGAGATTTAAAAAGGAGAAAGGAATTGTTTCTATTTTGACACTGACAGTTTTTGTAACTATTATTCCAAAGGGGAGGAAATGTTCGCTTTTTTATTTCCATTATGAGAGGATTTAGTTAGATCGTTAAGATGATAGTCACACAGCTTCAACTGTAATATGCCAGATATTACATGATTTCATTAGAGATGTCTGAAGTCCAGAAGCTTTTAATAATAAAAGCAGAATTTTTGAAACTTGAGTGCAAAGCAGCCTATTGGCATAATCTATAATTTGAACAATAAAATCTTAAATTGCAGCACTATCAGTACTATGCTAAATTTATTATGTATATTCTAAAACTAAATATTTGATTTTTATATGTTTGTCTATTTTGTGATATTACTATTAAATTTTTATTATCTACCTGAAGTGCACTATTGATTGTCATATATTTATTATTACTATTCTCAATAGAATGCTTTTACACAGAGCTGAGGACACTTACGTTTCTTTGACCTGATGAATTTCTTTTTTCCTTTTCTTTTTTTATGGAAGAATATTTGAATTCTGTCTTTTAATTCTCCATCGTCCTGGAAGAAGAATGATATGGGAGAGGGAGGTATTTTTAAATTCTTAACCAATTACAACTATTAGAAAAGCAAATAAGAGTATTATACAGTAGAAAAAGTTGTTCAGCCATATTTCAGAAGATGTCATATATACAAGAATAGGAATGACAAATAGGATTTGTGTCATCTTCAGTCAGTTGGTAGTGAGTGGCTCTGGAGTGTTCTTATGGAAAGATTGTACCTTCGGAGGTCAACTGTGAAGCTGTTTTTGAATTTGTAGATTCAAAGAATGTTAGAGCTAGAATGGGCTGCCAAGGTAATTTAGTATTATCTTCATTTAACAGGCAAGGATGCTGAGTTTGAGATGAATGAAATCACTTGTGTAAATGACCAGAATCAGACTAGTTCAAGGTGTTACATTGTGCTATTAGATGCACATTCTTTTAAAATTTATCTCCTCGAGAGTAAAAAAGAATAGAATCAGTAGAAAAAAGTATATTTAGCATTAATGCATTAAGAATTCAACAGATTTCTTGTTTCTGGGAACAGCACGCTATTCTAATTAACCTTCTTGCTGAAAACAATTTTTAAATGCTAAATAAAGTTGTTGTTTTTTTCTATTAATTAACATCTACTCTACCTGTTATACCTTTATTGATAATGGAGCTTTCAAATTTGGCCTGTGTGTGTGTTTAATATACACCTAAAAACATGGAAGAGGTGAGAAGATGAATTGCAAGGTAAAAGCTTTGGAGAAAGCTTCAACTCAGATATTAGTGGAATATTGGATAAAAGACACTTTTGACCTAAGACTATGTCCAGTACCTCACACTTTGGTGTAGTGAGCTTGTGGATCAAAGAGGATAAAAGGCCAAGTGTCCATCCAAGTTGGAGAATCCTATAAGAAACCCTACATTAAGAGGAGACACCAAAAAATTGCATCCTCACAATAAGGGAGAACTAAAACTAAACCTAACTCAAACTCAGGGACTATAGGAAGGTAAAAGAAAGGACAAAATATTCCTGAGATATTGTGGCCATAGACTAACCTTTACGTGGTTTGTATCTTGACCACCAGAATCGGTGGGCTGGGGGACTTTAGATACAAACATGACTGAAGGTTCTTCATGAACCTGGCAGAAACTATTCCAGTGCCTCTCTGAAGGAGGGTACATTTATTTTGTGTCTTGAAAAATGCCATAAATAAAATTTTAAGGGCAATGTTGGACACAGAGTCAAAGATAAATTAGTATACAAGAAATCAAGACATACAAGTGGGAAATAGCATGAACAGGATCTGCACAGACTTTAGGTTTGGAATTTTCAGAGATGTATTATAAAACAATTATACTACTGTGTTTAAAAAGTGATCAACAGACTTGAAAATATCTCTAAGGAAAGAACTACTAAAAAGTGATGTAGATTTGAAGAACCAAATAAAATTCATTTATATGAAAAAAACAACAACCAAAAATTTAAAACTCAGTGAAGATGCTTGACAGCAAACTATCCATGGCAAAAAAGAGAATTAAAAAACTAGAAGAAAGTATTTGTAATATAGTCCAGAGAGAGAAAAAGATGGAAAGTACAAAAAAAGAAGGTATGAGACAGATTCAGTGAGCATGTCTAATGTATATTTAATTGGAGTCCTACAGCTGAGGAAAGAATTGGGTAGTTATGTGGAAAGAGAAAGCTGAGAAATTTTCCAAACTATTGGAAGGCACCAGTCTACAAATTGAAGAAGCCCAGTGAATTTCAAGCAGGATAAAGTAAAAGAAATGCATTCTTAGTGTCTTCAGAGTGAAACTGGAAAAATCAAAGACAAAAATGTCTTAAAAGAAGTTGAAGATAAAAAGGCATACTGCCTTCAAAGGAATGTTTAAAGACTAGTTGGCCTTTCAACAGTCATAATGGAACAGTGGAATGGTATCTTCAGTGGATCAAAAGAAAATCATTGTCAATCCAGAATTATACATATATAGCAAAAATTGTGTTTCACAAATGTATAAAAATGAATTCTGACCTTCAATACTGGCCGCGATGAAGTAAAAGAGAAGGAATTTACCTTCTTACCTTTAACATCCCTAACAGTGGACAAAATACAGGAACTGTTTTTCAGACAGTGGACAACAACAAAGAGCAGCGATCTGTGAAAGAGGGGAAACAGATGAGGTAAGCCCTGTGATTGCCCAAGTTTACTGCACAGAAATAGCATGGGGGTCAGGGGACCTATATGAAACCTAGAATTCTCCTTAAATGGAAGAGATAGAAGTTAGAATTTAGAGAGGTGAGAGCAGCCATAATTTGCAGGGCAAAGTACCAGAAAGGCGAGAGCTGCACAGAAGAGCTAGACGATCCCCAAATATTTAGAAACACATTTCTAAATGACTCATGGATCAAATGTGCCCATGAAAAGGTGTTTAAAATTCTTAGTCATCAGAGAAATGCAAATTAAAGCCACAATGAGATATCACTACACACCTTTCAGAATAACTGAAGTAAAAAATTAGTGGCAACACCAAATGCTGATAAGGGTACAGAGAAACTTGATTACTCATGCACTGTTGATGGGAATGTGAAATGTTACAGACACTTTGGAAAAGTTTGTCAGTTTCTTATAAAATAAACATGCAACTACCGTATGATGCAGATATCTCAGGCATTTATCAAGGGAGCCATTAAAATTTAATTTTCACAAAAACCTGTACAGAAATATTCATAGCGGCTTTATTTGTAGTAGCCAAAAGCTATAAACAGCCTAGAGATGCATCAGCCAGGGCATAGTTAAACAAATGTGGTGCATCCATACCATGAAATATTACTCAGCAATAAAAAGAAACACACTATTGATACACATAACAACTTGGATGAATCTCCAGAGAATCATAATAATTTCTTTTAAAAAGCCAGACACAAAAGGTGAGATACTATATGACTCCAGATATAGCGGAGATAGTTTTGAAAATAAAAAGGTAAATGTGCTAGCTGTACCAGATATCAAGAATTATTATAAAACTATACTGATTAAGATATGAAGTAATAGTGTAGAGAAAAACAGTTCTACCAGTGAAATAGAGTAGGGAACCCAGAAACAGATTTATCCATAAGTGAATACTTGATATGTCACAGGTTAACACTTCTGGACTGTGAAAAAGTCTTTTAAATTGTGCTGAGACAATAGAGTATATAGAAAAGAAAGAAAAGAAGAAAAGGTAAGGAGGGAGGTAGGAGTAAGGAAGAAAACGACTCCTAATTCATTGCACACAAAGGTCAATTCTAGGTGAAATATTAATGTGAGAAATAAAACTCAAGCTTTTAGAAGTGAACATATCAGTATGCCTTCTGGACCTCAGTGTAGGGA